CTGAATATATTTGATGGCAATGAAGATTTATTGAAAGCTCTTTTGTAAATGCAAATAGTTTCCTGACTGTAACATACATTGTCCATACGAACATCCTATCTCGTCAAAATATATGTTATGTACAAAATAAAAAGTATAAGAAAGAATTCTGTAGAACCCGATGAATTGCACAAATCAGTTTGACACAAACATACTGATGGACCTTTATATGTGCATTTTGTGTTTTTACTGAGGTAGTAATCGGGACGAAGTAAAAGGTTTAGACATCCTCGCATCACAAAAACGTATTCTGAAATATTGAAAGTGATTAAAATCGAATGTGGCTCCCTACAGATTCAATTAGAGCAAGGGTTTTCCCGATAGGTTGGCTTGACCTAAGGTTGACCAAGTTGACAATGGAATATGAGCAAGGGGTGTTACAAGAGGCCCAGTGCGTGGCTAGTGAAGCCGCAATCGAAAAACCTAGGACGTCCCTTGTTTCCCTAATCGGCGTACGTTCACCGAGACATGTGCCTCCCTTTATGGCTAATTCAAGTGGAAATCGGGACAGGGCTGGCACTACTTTTGGTGGGGGAGGGGGAAGAGCTTAATAGTTTCCCTATCAAGTCTTAAGTGTTCCAACTGTATTTCAATTGCTCGATTAGGCTTCACAAGCATTAAAAGGATTCCTTGCTTACTGGGAGCGTATCCTTCCAGATAGCCGTCCTACGAATCACAGGCAATGAACTCCTTTTGACGGATTTTTCTCCGAAATATCTGAGAATCTCATAAAGGCGCTTGCTCCAGTCGGAGGAAAATTTCATGGTTCTTGAAGTGTCAAGCAGCCTGAGTGCGTCTAGTCGCGGATCCATTGGGTGGTTTCCAAAAAAGATGTAAAAATATGTATAAAGCTTTTGCTTGCTGGTTCATGTCGATTTTTTTGGCCCGTGCGACCCCGGCTGCAGCAGATATTGGGCCCTAACAAGTCTTATTCTATCTAGAGGTCCTTAACAGTCACTGGAATCAGAAGGTATGCATCGCCACGGTAATTCATCCAAATAATCCGATCCGATGGTGCAAAGGCTTCGATGAGTCTGAGCAGGATTCGATCCCATGTGGTCATGAAGTTGAAATGTGGCACCTCCAACCCCTGCACCATCCCTTATCAGACCTAGTAAGAACAATCAGAAGTTCGTTCTTTGTTGTGTTGAAATATTATTCGAAGAAGCACGTTGTCATCATTAATGAACGCCATGCGACAACAAAAACTCTTGGCATCATATGATGTGGCCTTATCGAAGGGGATTTTTTTGTTGGGAAATTGTCAGGACTTATCAAAAGTTGCACATAACTGTCCATCGGTAGGAATTTGATAGACAGAATCTTTTGCAGCAATCAGCTGTGAAATTAGGACTTTGGAATGACGAGAGAATTTTCAAAGGTCACCCGCTAGGTTCCTGGTTGCCTTTAGACTACTCTGAACGTACGGTTCTCTCTAAAAATCGCTACATCTAATCATCTAGTCTTCATCGGAATACGACAAGTATACCGTACTCATCTAGGAAGTTCCCTTGACACTATGGGAACAACGTAAAGTTTCGGGATGATTGCGAACCAGTGTCCATGTTCTCCTGCCAGAATACTTGTCCGCTACACTACGTAGGTATGTTACTGTCTTTTATTTATTTATTTATTTATTTATACACTCAACTGAGTGCGCCAATAGAGGGAATTGAGGACAGATGTGCAACTATAGGAGAGTCTAACCAAGATCAAGATAAAACGAGCGGAGACTCCGCTGAATACCAGTATCTGTACTAGGGTAGGTGTAAAAGAACTCATTACTGTCTTTCCTCCCTTACCGTTATACATACTTCCACCCTTTATGATAGCTATTTTAACATTGATCATAAGTTTTTTCTATACTTCCCTACATTAGGTTTTTTTCTCCTCTAAGCATCATTGGTATACGTTTATGACCGAATTTGTCTTTTTTTGAGTAATTATATACGCAATGAAAGAAAGATAAAGGTCATGGCGCATCCTAAAGCATCAAAACCGCTCACATTATCAGTGATTCAACGATTTAATGGATATGATTTTAAGTTAGATCCCGCGACTCGCTTGCATATTTTATCTGTTCGTCGACTCAAAAATGCCAACTCATGGTTGTACCGGTGGTGTTATCAAACCCCGAACCAATCTGACACCAACTAATCGGCTCATCTTCCAGAGGAGCGTTTGCTTTCCCGGACATGAATCACCTCCGGTTTACTTGAATCGGCCTTTTATGCGGATTAGTACGTACTCAAGCGTTGGTTTTTTAGCCATTACGTGGGTAATGTTTTTTGTGGTATTCCCAGTCTGGAGGCGGACTGATTCATCCCGAGGTGTTGCCACGTAGGATTTCGAAATCTGAAAGGGCAATTCCCAAAAAGTACGCGTTCAGTTTCGTAATCGTGATGGACGACGGGGCTTGGTTCCATATTAAAGATAGGAAAAGGGAAGAAGTCCTGTCTGGAAGTAAGGAGACCGTTACAGTCTTCCCTGCAAGGATCCGGGTAACAGTACTGCCTAGTGCCTTTGGAATGATGCTAGGTCATGGTAACTAGCGAGTAATGAATATGAAAAAGTCGTACAATCTCAAAAAAAGAACTTACCGCCTTGGATAATGGACACTTTGACGCAGCTGTCGGTAACGTCACAGGTTTGTGTCTCGGCGTAGTAAAAATCGTAGGTACTAGCATCATCACAGTATTCATGCGACGGCGGTATATTGTACCTGAACAAAAAGCATTTTTACTCAGAGAAACACGTTCTTCAAAGCCTGTCAGGGTTTGGACGGAGTTAAAATGAGAAAATAATTATGTAATGGTGAAGAGTTCCATTTGGTCATGTCGAGCTCATTATTTCTCATTTACAGGTGATCAAACTGAAAGGGTACTTTTGTGCCGTACTGTAGACCATCTGAGACATTCTACCAAAACGAGTGGAAGTCGGACACGTGGCTCACTCCCAATTCAGGCAACCGTTGTAACATAGGACATGCCAGTGAGTTTCAAGTTTTGGTTTCTTTCTGATTTCCATTGACAATAATTTTGACTGTACCTAACGACGCACAAAAGACTACAGAGCTTGAAATTCGAGGAATATTCCGCAAATTTAAAATTTTTAAGCAGAGACAAATAATTGGCTTATTGCCAACAAGGATTGCTCTCACATATAGTTTAGGGTACGGAATCTACCTGAGTAAGTCAATTCCCTTCTATCCGGAGGAACTTGATGAACCCTTTTGAGATTCATGGCGAGCTGGGTTGGATAATATATTCTTGTTAGGAAAAAGGAACAAATGCGTTTAGCAGCTGGTGTCCGCGAAAGGTTGTATGGGTAGAGTATATAAAATATGTTTTAATCATTTCAAAAATATTCTGCAATTGAAAATGAACGTTCATATTACAGCTCAATAAGAAATTCTTCACCAAGTAATCAGATTGTTTACCGTCGTGCAGGAAAAAGCCAAGTTTTTGCATTCACTTAGATAAAGCTCATTCGAATCTAAATTTTTCTTATCGAAGTATTATTTGTAACATTCGAGTTTCAACGGTATTGAGCACAGCGAAGCATTTTTCTTTCCTCATTCAAAATTTCATTTGAAGCTCATAAAAAATTCTGTCGTCTCTTATCTCCACGTAGCTTTTTACCTCTTGTTATCTTCCATAGCGACGCATTATTACAATACTAGGGAGGTAATTGAGTAAGTAGCCAAGGAAAGTACTCCTACTGGACGACCCCATATGTGGTTATGGTAGGAATAGAAACAAGAAGAACAGANTCGGATGACGACTTATTGGGGAGTTGAGCCAGGTAGAGGCTTCGGTAGTCTCGATAGGGTTGTAATAGCCACAGTAACAGCACTGATTGTGAGAGGGAGGAGATGGGATAATGCCATACGGCGCATTATCGCACACATGGTCCTGAGATCGAATCCCGGTCTGATACCTGCCTAGGCCAACTAAGCATTCCATCTGTCTTCAAGTTCAGTTCATTGATACCCAGACCTTTCCAGAAGGATAAAAGCAGGGGTTTTACTTCGACTGACTACCGCAAGGCATTGTAGACCCCCAGATGCATACGAAACGTCTCTAAGATTCTAAATGGAAGTCGAAAGCGTGGATCCATCTCTCAAACGCAATTCAACAACGTCAAAAGGTTTCATTCCTATCTTTTTTATGAAGTACTAGGAATTTGAGGAGTACTTTTGGATTCCGTGTCATTGAATTTTCGAGTCGCGAGGTGTCACCGGAAATCGAATGTTTTATCGGAAAAAGTGCAAAATGCTTTATTGTCCCTGGCACCCTCATACGATGGAATTCGGGAATTCCACAGAACTTTCGCTTTTGATAGAGCACACGTGCCATATGTGGTTTTTACCTTCGCCCTATCAGCTACAGAGCGTTTTGTCGAAGTCTATCATTCACATATCGTATCGCCTCACCTGTCATACCCTTGGTCAGAGATACCTCGCCTTCGTGCCTGTCGCGCTCCAGTGTAGCCTACTGGACCTTCCCCCTCGGAAAGACACGGGGGTACCATATACCTGTCATTCATAGCCTTATTGAATAGATCTGACCATCGTTCTGATGGTCGTTCTGAGGTCCGTTTGACTCCTCGAGGGATCCAGTCAGTACTTTGACTCGGGTCCAACGGTCAAAATTCGGAAGCACGGAATCACTTCAGCTTTTGTATGCATGGGGGAACTCCGAGCATCGTCCACTCCACTACGCGTTGAATTATCTGACCCAAGTTAATCCTGTTTTCAGAGGCCAAGACTCCGAGGAGTATGTCAAAGCAGGAGGGACCGAAAGGACGGAAAGGTAGCGCGAAGTCAGATCTGCTTCGTTTTCTTCGCTTATTAAGTTTAAGTCGAAATCGCTGTCGAAGTTCTTATGTGCTCCCCACACCGCTCGTTTCCTTCTGCTCCGCTCCGCCGACAGGTTGTTCATCACGTACATTTCCGGACTCAAATGTCGCTGAATCATTCAGGATGTCTTTTCGCTGAGCATGAATAAGACATTGAAGCTCGTATTCATCACCCTTCACTTTCGTAAAACATCAGGGCCAGTATTACTTACCTCTGTTCACATCCTGAGTCGTCTGGGCCATAATCTGTCTCGTTGCCCTAACAAAACCGTTCAAAGGTATGGCGCCTATCTCTCGCAATCTAACGCCCATGAGGAAGGAACCTTGGTTGGGGACGAGGGTTGTCGAGTCGGACTTTGATCCACGGATCATTCTAGCGGCC